AGGTTTTCACCCCAAATTTGCACACCTTCAAGCTTTGCAGAATACGCCTTACCTTCAATAATGTGTCATGTAATTTTTAGATCTGTATGTATATTAATGGATTTATTTTCTAAGGAACATAAAACACCATACCACTTATCATCTACCAAATCAGTATAGTAGAATAGTATATTTTTTTCCAAGAAAGGGATCGATTATGTTCACTTTCGGACCCGTGCCATGATGATCTTTTGAGCTACCTCACCCTTTTGCCTCTTCTTAAACTATTTACTAAAGGTAAGTGGCATTTTGGAAAGGCTTGATTAAATAAATAACTTCAAGAATATTGGTTATACTTATCATAGTGATTCATTTACTAGTTCAACATGGCACATGTACAATATGCGTTATCCAATAGTTCAGAAAAAATAGTACAAATCAAATGCACGCGTTGTCTTGTCCAGCTGAAAAGGCCTGCACATTCTTGTACCATAATGGTTTGCTTAATAGTTCAACATGGAGCATGTACAATATGTGTTAGGCAACAATTCAGATAAAACATTATAATTTAAATACACTCTTTGTCCTCTCCAACTAATAAGGTATGTACGCACTTGTAACGTAATAATTCACTTACTAGTTCAACATGGCGTATGTACTATATGCATTATGCAACCGTTCAAAAAAATAGTACAAATTAAATGTATGCCTTGTCTTGTCCAACTGAAAATGCCTATACATACTTGTACTGTAATAATTTCTTTACTAGTTTAACATGGTACATGTAAAATATGCGTTATGCAACTTAAAATCACTCATTCTTACCTTTAAATACCCCACACATGTTAGTTCATTCTTTTTGAATCCTCACAGCTTAAACAACCAATTGATCTTCATTTCCATGAAATTTCAAGTTTCAGCAATACAATGTATCTGACCACGATGAGGTCCCTAGGTGTTACTGTGAGAAACACACAATTTTGAAGCCATGTTGGGCCACTTGCAATATAGGGCACAGACATTGGATGTGTAAATACATCATGAGTTCATAATATACAAATTTATGTTGGTTATTCCGATAATTATTTTATAAAATGATACCGATAGTCATTTTTATCATGATTATTCATAGGAGGAAAACTATTGTAGTTTTGAAGAATGGTTCGATGAATCCATTAATCAGGAATACTACAAATCATGTTTATTAAACCTTTGGAAAGGTACCTAGGAGTACAAAATGAAGATCTAAAAACTTGAAAAAAAATGTTACAATGCTGAAAAAGAAGCAAAGGCATGGAAGAAGAAACTGAAGGAAGCCGAAGAAGAAAATAATTGGCTGCAAGAGAAATTTCAGTGGTTAAAGCAGAGAATAATAGGCGATAGTGACTAAACAAACACGTGACTGCTTTAATTATATTTTTATTTTATGTTTTAGATTTCATGTATTATGTGATTCTTTACGTATTTTAATATATGTTAATCTGTATTTTTATTTGTGGTTCTAATATCTAATTAATCAATAATACTAAACTTAAAACAATAAGGTAATAATATTAAACATAAAATAATATTGACATAAAATTATTATCTAATGTTATATATACAAATCAAGCTGACTATCAATGTGTCCCACAACTTGTATGCTTAAATGCATTAGCTGGCCTGATGCGCATGCCATGTCGACCGGCCACACTATCAGGATCATCCTCATCTCACCGCGTCTTTATCTGAGGATGCACTATAGCATGATCGACAGGAAGGCTGGATGGATTAGTAGAGGAGTCCATTAGGCTAGCAGGAAGCTACAATAATGTTATTTGGGAGTACGAAATTAATAATAATGTTAATATAGCCAAACCTGCATCTCAATGGGCGGTCGCACGTGCATATCGACGGGATGCTCGAGGGGAACTCCAAGGTAGACTGTACTAGAGAAAGGTTATGAAATTTCCACTAGATCTAATGTCTCCTTCATTACATGATGAAAAAAATATTATTTTTCTTCTAAACAATAATACGATAATAGAGATATTTTAAAAATCAATAGGAAAATGTACTAACATGATAAGAACCATAGTTCAAATGTATGCCAATGTGCACATCTCGCACCAGACGGTCCTTTGCATCCCTCGATGTGCCTAGAACATCAGAAAAGTATGCATCCCAATCATACAACGTAATGCAGGCACCCGCGATCAATAAAGTAGCGACTAGCTGAACAATAAAGTCCTCAGTGATAACAATTTAAATGTAGGCATATTATTACCAGCATCATGTTCCTCACCCTGGTCACTCGGTATACGTTGTGCAATATCCTCCATGGGTGCCTCAACGCCACCTTGTTGGCCACCCCGTCCGCACCGACCACCCCGACCATGCGGGCCATCCCCCCTTTTTGGCCATGCCTGGCACATCTACAACGTGCTGGAGTCACATCTGGGCCATGATGGTAATCCTATGGCAGAACATACGCTGGATCAAATCCTAACCCCGCAACCGCTCATGCAGCTACCAATGTGGCAGTAGCAAGTGCAAAAACCTGACGACCCTAATGGTGCTGTAGTGGCACTATGTCCCCTAAGTGTTGCTGCATTTCCAAACCCATATGGTGAATACGGTGTAAGCCGATAGTCTGTATAGAATATGGCATAGTAATTAAAAAAAATAACTAAATCTAACATTATACATAAGTATATCAAATAATGTACCACTACTCGTGCCTCCAGCATATGGAACGTACCGGCAATCCTCCCGATGATCGGGATTGCTTATTAGAGTGCGAGTAATACGATAATACCAAGACATATACTCGTGCTCACCGTCAATACCATTATGTGGAGGGTCTGGAGGTAACGTGAAAAGACGCTGATCCGAGTCCTCTATTCATGCCTCGAGCCAGGCCAAGCACGCTTGGTCAACTCTACTGCGCTCATCCCGCTCGTAATGTGTGGCATGCCAACTGGGATGACAAGATATATGCTGTGGCTGGACAAATTGTTGCATGACTCTCTCTGTTGGATGATGCTCAACTATATCGAGACATATCAATGGGACCTCACAAAACCACACTGCTCGACCTCGTGAGCAATATTCTGGAAAACTAGCGATGAGCTCGTCGTTATATTGCCTCTATACGAACTATTTATTAAATGCAAAAATAGTAAGTAACCACAAGACAAATCATATAACGTACTAAGTTGAATATTTACCTGATCACCATCCAATAGATCCAACATATCCGTGTAAAGCACTAGATGATATCGAGCCTCGATGATATCCTTGAGGGGAAGAAGTGTGGTCGAATTTTTATTCAAATATAGTATTGACTAATATGTTAACGAGATTGCATGTAAAATATGCGTTGTCTATGAAATAGTTCTCATTCTTTTTAGGGTCCTATTTTGGTCCCTGGAGTCCAAATAATTGATACTTAGGTTCCGGACTTTTACAATTTCACCCAAAAACAATGCAAAGTTAAAAATGAATGATCTTATTAACATATATTTTCTCTTATTAACAATGACTTTATTCCCTCTAAGCTAGGAGTGTGCATTCGATTTATCGATTCGATTTTGACCCTTATCGATAATTACTTATCGATTATCGATTTGTACATATGCTTATCGTTATCGTTTCAATAAGGTTTCGATTTTTTGATTTCGATTCATCGATTTTTGGGGCTTATCGATTACACCAATAAGAAAATTTGCAGGATTCTACGGAAAGTATATTGTTATAAACACGCCTAACTAATATGGACAAAAAGAAGCTAAAATAAGACGAACACCGTTTATAACATAAAAATTGTGTCAACAAGCACATGCAACGAAACTAAAGTAAGGGATCAAATGTATGCCACCAACACTCCAATGGTATAAAAAAAATACATCATCACGGCTAATTCTATTTTTCGGGCATGTACAAAGGAGAAGCCCAGATACTCCAGTAAGGAAGTGTGAGCGGCTGGTCGTGGAAGGCACGAGAAGAGGTAGAAGGCGACCTAAGAAGTATTGGGGAGAGGTGATCAGGCAGGATATGACGAGGCTTCAGATTTCCGAGGACATGACACTTGATAGGAAGTTGTGGAGGTCGAGTATTACAGTTGTAGGCTAGGAGGTTGTTGAGTCTTGCGTTACTTTGTACCTTTGTGAGCCTAGTCCAGTGGGGTTTTATCTAAGATAGCTAGGGGCAGTGTAGTGTCTTATTATTTTCTACTTTCGACGCATGATCCATTTACTAACCATCGTTTTTGCTTTGCATTTTTCTTCTGCATTTTATGTTCCTTTTTCCCTATGATCTCCGTGGTGAATCTAATATACTCTCCTTTTGTCTTTTTATTATCTTGAGCCGAGGGTCTTTCGGAAACAGCCTCTCTACTCCTTCGGGGTAGGGTAAGGTCTGCGTACATACTACCCTCCTCAGACCCCATTTGTGGGATTATACTGGGTTATTGTTGTTGGCTAATTCTATTTTTCATTAATTTGAACTTCATTGGTATTAGCAGGCAATCCAAGATGACAAAAATGAAGTTTTAACTACTAGACTAGTATCAAGCTCTATATGTAATATATTAGCAGTACTTGGGAACCTTAGTATTATCCCTGCTATTACTAACAGCGATGTAATGCCCCCCTAACCTTTTATGAATGAATCTATCCCTATTTCCAAAAAAAAAAAAAATTGAATTTCATTACCTTGAGCTTTAAATATGATCATTCCTTAAATATGGTAGATGAAATAATAGGGTTATGGACTTAGGGTAAAGGAAAAAGTATTATAGAATAAGGGTAAAAAAATTAATTTTTTTTTTGTATATCTTATCAGTTTATTCATAAACCGATAACCGAATAGGACAAAATCGAAATCGAAATCAATAAGGAAAATTTCGAAATCGAAATCCAAAAATCAATAAACCAATATCGATAAACTGATAACAAATAATCGATTCGATTTATCGTAAACCGATTCGAATGTGCATCGTGCTAACCTTGATGAAAATAGTAGTGGTGACTTGGTGTTGTGACCTGTGAGTTGTGAATAGCAGTTGAACTGCTGTCTCATTATAGACCATCTCTTTCTTCTTCCCCGCCCTATTCCCTCTCTCTTTTCTTTCTCGTTGCCTCGTTCTTTACTCTTTCTAGGAACACTTTTGATTGGACTCCTATTAATTTAAAATGCAACCAGAAATGGGCTCAGAAGGATCATCTAGGGTTGTGAGTTAGCTTCAAGATTTCCTGCACATTTTATGCTTTTGTTACATTTAAGCTTGATATTAGTTTATTTTAGTTTTACTGTCTGTTTTTTGTTTGGATTCTGCATTTCCCTTACTATTTATACCTTTATGATGTATAGGACCAGGGTTTCTTTCTTTGGTTTGTCACGAATTGGATTTAGTGATGGGGCGGACATATCCTGTTTCAATGTAAGAAATCAATTAAGCCCTCAAATAAAGAGTTCTCCTTTTAAGGCACTGATAAAAAAATTGTTTTTCAAGGCAAATTAGGTGAGTGGAAGTTTAGATTTTTAGCTCTACAGGAAGAATTTGGTGCAAAAATATTGTCTTATCGATGCCCAGGTCATAGGTTTGTTGATTAAAATTCTAAATAATATGTTACTCCTGCATCTGCTGAATGCTGTAATGTTGTAATTAGTTGCCTGAATGATCAGGTTTTACTTCTTTGGGAGTTTTACCATCTAACCACCCAATTTTTACTTCTTAGGTGAGAATAGGCTTTATATGAAACAGGAAAATTTTCCCCTTGGATGTCTCATACTTCCATAACTCATCACTGTTCAGTTCACAGTCATTGTGGTTTACAATCTTGATGCAGTTTAGAGAATGGTATAGGTGAAAAGCTTCCTCCATACAGAGTTGAAACCATTGTTCATTATTTTCTGCTGTAATCCTTGGCCTACGAAAACATTCACGATTGAGGAGGTCGGTTTGTACAGTATCAGCTTTAAGAAGTACACTCATACCGGAGAGCATCCCTCGAGAACTTGATTGGATCAGTGAAGATTGAAGCTGACTGTTTAATGGACATGGGTGCGAGTATCTGATATGGGTGTGATCTAGAAGTTGGATTCCTCAAAACCTAAATCTTAGAGTGCAAGGATATAAATGGAAGTACAGATATGGATTTCGGATACATCTAATAAATGTATACTTGTAAAAAAAACCATCAATCCCAAGCTAGTTGGTGCGGCTATATGAATCCTCACTGTCCATTTTGCTCCAGTGGAGTGGAGCATGTTCCGTTCCAATATTCGATAATCTAGGTTCTATCGCCCCTAAGCTTTTTCCAATGATAAAGACGCAATGTAGGATGTGCCGATAGGGTGCACATTACAAGTTCAAAATTTTGCCACGGGCAAAAGCCTAGTATTTAAGTGAGAGATGGGTAGAGGAGTCGGTCTATAGTCCCCGAGTATTGAACCTGTTGACCAACCAGCCAGCTGGATTAACCTACATGATTTGCTCAGTTACAAAAAATAGTTTTCTGTATTTTGTATTGACGTATAAATCTCTAACAAGATCAAAAGACTCCTAACAAACATTGGATCTAATGTGAGCTAACCGATAGAACTAAGCCTTAATCCTAGCTCGTTTATATCTCTGATAGTGATCTTTTTCTTTCATTGTGTTCTATTTTTTCACTAAATCTACGTGGATTTGAATTATCTATGTATATGTGAATATAATTATTAAATTAAGTCATTGCAAATATTTTAAATATCTAATGTTTTGTCCCATAAGTAGCACCCAAGGGTATGACCTAATAATCAATGCACTAGGTTAGAAGGGTTGCTCTAATGGTAAGCAACCTCCTATTCCACCCAAGAGGTTGTGAGTTCGAGTCTCCCCAAGAGCAAGGTGGGAAGTTCTTGGAGGGAAGGATGCCGGGGGTCTATTTGGAAACAACCTCTCTACCCAGGGTAGGGGTAAGGTCTGCATACACACTACCCTCCCCAGACCCCACTAAGTGGGATTATACTGGGTTGTTGTTGTTGTTGTTGTTGTAGGTTAGAAGACCAGAGTTCAAATCACAAGGGAGACAAAAATGCTAAGTGATTTCTTTCTATTAGACCATATGTCTAATGGGTAAAGGTACCCTTTACCTATGCTAGTGGTAGCAGGTACTCTATGGAATAATCGAGGCATAAGCAAACTGACCCGGACACCACTATTATCAAAAAGAAATAATATTTCAATAATTATGTCTCGTACAATAGGAAAATTTTCTAATACTCCCCCCGTTCCAATTTATGTGAACATGTTTGACTGGGTACGGAGTTTAAGAAAAAAATAAAGACTTTTTGAATTTGTGGTCCTAAATAAGTTAAAAAGGGGCCTAGAGTATTTGTGCGGTTATAAAAGCTTCTCATTAAGGGCAGGTGTGTAAGTTTAAGCTAAATTGTTTCCAAATTAAGAAATGGGTCATTCTTTTTGGAACGGACCAAAAAGGAAATAGGTTTACATAAACTGAAACGGAGGGAGTACTTTATGTATATGTACAAACTGATAAATTGAAAATGAAAACCCAGTTGATCTAAACTTGTCAGTCATATTTTTAGTCAATGCACCGGGGTCTCAGGAGAATTTGACCAAATCCAGGGGTGTATTCCGCACTCACACCCAAATTATGTTGAATGGCAGGTGGAACGGAGCTTTATGCTACTCCTTTTGTAGCTACAAGCTGTTCAATATTCTTCACTATAGATATAACATGTTTTTTTTATCTATTTAACTGTGTATTTTAGTCTTTTCCAAGAAAACTGTTTTTAATGCACTACAATTTGCATACCATATACAACAACATACCAAGTATTATCCCACACTGTGGGGTATTATCCCACAACATACCCATTATATGCATACCATATAAGCATATTATTTAATCTTTATGATGATATTTTCTTTTATCTCCAGTCCCTAGGAGTTTAAGATTATTGGGAGAGCTTGAAAGAGGAGAAAAGGGAATTGGGGATGGAACTGTCAGCTATGGGATGGATGACGCAGATGATGTATACATGCAATCTTGGACAGGAACTATAATTGGTCCTCCTAATGTAAGATTTTTCTTTCAGCTTTTCCAAAGATGTGCTTGTAGCTTCATATTTCTGTATTCTTGAATAAGCAATGTATTTCCTTTTGGTAGTCAAGCTGCAGTTGATTGTAATTCCCTCTTGGTGCTCTGTGCTGTTAATGCAGGAATTTTGTCCATTAATTTGGTTCTTGGGCTAATCTTTAAATATCCTTGTTGACTATTGCATCACATTTCAACTTGTGGCAGGCTTGATGTTTAGTCACTGTTGAAACACCTTTAGCTGGTTAATGTTGAAATGATACTAAGATATGCTGAGGAAAGAGTAGATTAGGTAGTTAATTGCAGACATAGAATCACTTTTCTACCAAGTGCCTTGGAGGCTAAGTTCAGAAGTAGGTTTTCCTCTAAAGACATGATTTTTTCCGAGGCACATTTCTGCCACAAAACATCGAAAACGACACATTTAAATTTAGCGGAACTACCAACAACCCCAAATTGTCCTTACCTGACAAAACTTACTAGTTGCTTCATTGAAGGAGCTACCCAAGTACAGATTTTGTAGGGCCAAAGCATTTGAACATTTACTATGGGAAAATTGATTCACTAGCAGCATTGTGGGCTAACATTAGACACAATATTGATTCAAAACTACCAAGGAAACTTCCTGTTGCGTCAAAAGATGTTTTACTCATTTTTGGGTCTCGTAACTGTTGACATACAAGTTGTCTAGCACATGTATACACATGTACTACATCATAGCTAGCACATGTATATGAGTTGTATAGTAGGTGTAATACAAGTTGTGTAGCACATGTATACACATGTACTATATCATAGCTAGCACATGTATATGAGTTGTATAGTAGGTGTAATTAGGTGTATGACAACTAATAGATTAGGTGAATTAGTATTATAAATAGGCCTTGTAATCTTCTCTTCTAGATATGAAATATAGAACTTCTTTGGTTTCTAACATGGTATCAGAGCATTGAAGTTTTTTCATCAGTTTGTTGTTGGGAATTTTTTTTTCCCCGTTCGAATTATTTTTGTTCAGAACAGTCTTTCGCTGCTTTGATTCTATTTCACTATTTCCGGCCATTTTTTGCCCCGGCCGCTTCTTTACAGATTTTTCTACTCACTATTCCGACCAAAGTGGTACTGTCAGAATTTTTTTTTTCTGACAACTTTCATTTTCCAAGATCACTGTTCACTGTACTGTTCACTGTTCACTGCATTGTTCACTGTTCAAATATTACTATTCACTATTCACTGTACTTTTCAAATATCACTGTTCACTGTTCACTGCACTGTTCAAATTTCACTGCACTGTTCTTGACTATTTGATTCTGCTATTATTCGGATGCATGATGACTGAAACGAAACCTACCGTTGATGTCATTCCGGTTATGTCCAAAATTACGGATAATAAGTTCATGGGTTCCAATTACATGGATTGGAGTAAGACGATCCGTCTCTATTTGCGGAGCATCGACAAAGAGAACCACTTGGTTGATGATCCACCTAAGGATGAGACTAAATTAGTCTGGTTAAAGGAGGATGCAAAATTGTTTCTCCAAATCAAGAATTCGATGCACAGTGAGGTAAATGATGTACTTTCTCATTGTGATTATGTGAAGGATCTAATGGATTATTTAGATTTTTTGTACTCTGGCAAAGGAAACTTGTCTCGCATGTATGATGTGTGCCAGACATTTTACCATCCATCCATGCAAGATCGCTCTCTCACCACTTACTTCTCAGAGTTTAAGAAGGTGTATGATGAGCTTAATGTTATATTGCCGTTTAGTCCAGATGTGAAGGTACAACAGGCTCAGCGTGAACAACTGGCGGTCATGAGTTTCCTTTCTGGTCTTTCTCCCGAATTTGAAGGGGCCAAATCGCAGATTTTATCTGGGACTGCTATCTCTTCCTTGAAAGAGGCCTTTACAAGAGTGTTGCGTACTGAAAAGTCTCATCCAGGTCCGACAGCCACGATCGATAGTGGTGCTCTGCTTAGCCGCGTCCAAAAGAATAGGAGTCATAGTAATCGCAATCGGAGTAGCGATAGTCGAGACCTAAAGCAAGGGGAAGTTGAATGTTTTTATTGTCATGAGCTCGGTCATACCATACGTTATTGTGTGAAGCTTCAGAATAAGAACAAAAGATCTCAGTATGCCAACATCGCCACTTCCGAGACTATTTCACCATCTCAGTCATCATCTCCTATCAATACTATCCCCGAGTCAGGTAAAACCACTAAGTGTCTCCTCTCTTCGTCATCCAAATGGGTCATTGATTCTGGTGCCACAGATCATATGACAGGTAACTCTAAACTCTTTTCCACTTTTCAGTCACATACCCAATGTTCCACAGTTACTTTAGCCGATATGTTTTAGGGTCTGGCACTGTTAACCCAACATCTTCTTTTTCCCTTAGTTCCGTCTTAAATTTGCCTGATTTTTCTTTCAATCTAATATCTGTCAGTAAACTTACTCGTACTCTAAATTGTTGTGTCTCATTTTTTCCCAATTATTGTCTTTTTCAGGATCTTACGACGAAGCAGATTATTGGTAAAGGTTCTGAGTCTGGGGGTCTCTATGTTCTTGAATCACAGGTGCCGAAATCCATTTCTTGTTCAACTGTGTTGTCTCCCTTTGATGTACACTGTCGATTGGGTCATCCATCCTTGTCTAGTTTGAAGAAGTTATATCCTCAGTTTCAGAGTATTTCTTCTTTAGATTGTGAGTCATGTCAGTTTGCCAAACACCATCGCCTTCCTAAAGTTTCTAGAGTCGATAAACGGGTCGACTTACCTTTTGAGTTAGTTCACACCGATGTTTGGTGTCCATGTCCTATTATCTCTAAAATTGGTTTTAGATATTTTGTTACCTTTGTGGATGATCATTCTCGTGTTACTTGGTTATATTTAATGAAAAATCGTTCGGAATTGTTTTCAATTTTTTGTGCTTTTTGTGCTGAAATTAAAACTCATTTTAATGTATCCGTTCGTAATTTAAGGAGTGACAATGCAAAAGAATATTTTTCGGATTTGTGTAAAAATTATATGGCTACAAATGGTATTCTACATCAATCTTCTTGTGTTGACACCCCTTCTCAAAATGGGGTTGCGGAACGAAAAAATAGACATCTTCTTGAAGTAGGCCGAGCACTCCTCTTTCAAATGAAAGTGCCAAAAT